AGGTTTATCTTGAGGTAGCATCATCCTATCTGCACACTGGTTGATATACACCACCAACAAGCTGATAAAAACATTTTTACTGAGAACAAGAACCAGTCCTGGCTAGACAGATTATATAATTAATAAGCTGAACTGAGCAATTTCCACCTTATACAGTGGGTACACGATTATCCATTTACCTCTTGCAATAAACTGATAATGTACAAAACATTTAACGCTGCCTTGCAACTACATCTTTTTCTCTAAATGGGAGAGGAATAGATTTGAAGGATGGAATTTATTTGATGGACAATGGGATTGAGTGCACCCTCAGCAAGTTTGCCAATGACACCAGGCTGAGTGATGCAGCTGACATGTTGGAGGCAGAAAAGCCTTTGAGAGGGACCTTGACAAGACTTAAGAGTGGGTCCATGGGAACCTCATGAAATTCAACAAGTTCAATTGCAAGGACCTGCACCCGGGTCAGGGCAATCCCAAGAACAACTACAGGCTGGGAGAGGAATTGCTTCAGAGCAGACCTGACCCCAGGACTTGGGGACGTTGGTTGACAAGAAACTCAGCATGAGCCAGCAGTGTGCGCTTCCAGCACAGAATGCCAATTGTATGCTGGGCCGCCTCAAAAGGAGCATGACCAGCAGGTTGAAGATGATCTTGCTCCTCTACTCTGCCCTCATGAGACCTCACTGGAGTACTGTGTTCAGTTCTGGTGTCCTCAACATAAAAGGGACATGGAACTGTTGGAACAAGACCAGAGGAGGGCCACGAGGATGATCAGGGGACTGGAGCACCTCCCATATGAAGATAACCTGAGAAAGCTGGGGCTGTTCAGTCTGGAGAAGAAAAGGCTGCGTGGAGACCTCCTATCAGCCTTCCAGTATCTGAAAGGGGCCGATAAGGATGTTGGAGAAGGACTCTTCATTAGGGACTCTAGTGATAAGACAAGGGGTAGCGGGCTCAAACTTAAACAGGGGAAGTTTAGATTGGATATAAGGAAGAAGTTCTTTACTTTAAGTGTGGTGAGGCACTGGAATGGGTTGCTCAAAGAAGTGGTAATTGCTTCAACCCTGGCATTGTTCAAGGCCAAGTTGTACAAAGTCTTGGGCAACACGGTCTAGCATGAAGCATCCCTATCTATGGCAGAGGGGTTGGAACCAGATGATTTTAAGATCCTTTCCAGCCTTAACTTTTCTATGATTCTATAATCATCAGAAGGTCGAGGGAGGTGATTCTCCTCCTCTGCTCTCTTGCAAACCCACCTAGAGTATTGCATTCAGCTATGGAGCCCCCAACAGAACAAGGACATGGACCTGTTAGAGTGAGTCCATATTAGGGCCACAGGTATGATCAGAGGGCTGGAACACTTCTCCTATGAAGACAGGTTTGGAGAGCTGGGCGTGCCTCAGCCTTGAGAAGAGAAGGCTCCAGTGAGAACACAGAGCAGCCTTCCAGTACCTGAAAGGGGCCTAGAAGAAATCTGGAAAGGGGCTTTTTATAAGGGCCTATCTTCTTAATTTGTTAAAGAAACAGTGATAAGAAAAACAGTAGTGGTTTTCAACTGAAATAGGGTAGATTTAGATTAGATATTAAGAAGTTCTCTATTTTGAAGATGGTGAAGCATTGGCACAGGTTGCCCAGAGAAGTTGTGGCTTTCCTGTCACTGGAAGCATTCAAGGCTAGGTTGGATGGGGTTTTGAGCCATGTGGTCTAGTGGAAGATGTCCCTGCCCATGACAGGGGTTGGAACTTGATGATCTTTAAGGTCCCTTCCAGCCCAAACCATTCTATGATTTTTATAATTATACAAAATAGCTGAAGTTGTTTTCTGTCTAGTTGTTTGGTTTATTGGTTTGTTGGTTTTCATTGTTGCTTCTTTTTATTTTGTTATTTTGTTGGGTTTTGTTGGTTTTTTTTTTTGGGGGGGGGTATTTTGTTTTACTTTGGCACATACACACCCATCTAAGGATTTTTCTTTCCACTTTCCTAAATTTTAGTCTCTCCTCGACATGTCAGTCCATTCTGCCATTGATAAGATGAATGCTCTGTCTTCAACCCATAGCATCCAAAAATAGGTATTAAGTGATCTCCTTCTGCAAGCGGAGAAATGCTTGACTTCGATTTTCTTGTTATAAAATAATTCAGTCATGGATACTCCCAGCTTAATGAAATAATTAAAAGACTGTTCAGATAGTGTAGCCTATGTTACCAGACAGGAGAAGTATTCTGGCTGTTTTAAAGAGAAGAAATTAAATAGGACAGGTACGGAACACTATCCTACACAGTCACTGGTTGAGAGGAGAATGAACAATGATTTTGTCCTGTTACTTCTAACACCCACTGACTCAAAAAATCTCATGATGGGTTAAAGCATTTATAGTAAAGACTGTAATGGCAACATGACCAGACAGCATAGTCACAGTCTTTTTCATCCTGAAGATTAAATACATGTGAAAACAATACATATAACTGACAGTTTTGGAGGTCACACCTGAGAGATGAAAAATTTGCATCTATAAAGCGGCAGCTGAGACTGAAACAAATTAGGACAGTAAGAAATACATTAGAGGTGCTTGTGTCTGAGGAATGAGGTGATCAGGTAAAGATAATAATGGAAAACCAAGAAGTATGCGTAATTGCCAGTCTAATATGAATTGTTGCTGGACATCTGGAATTGTTTGGCTCCACTATCTCCCTCTGACTGACACAAAAGCTATTAATCATAACGTTGTCTTAATTAAAATAATAATCTCCACATGCTTCAGGTTAGATTGTGAAGATACTGAGAAGCTGCTTAACAGCTTGGCAGGAGGGGTTTTAGGAACATAGAAGAGAAATGTCCTAGATTTTCTTTAAAAATAGCTGTGTGTAATCACCATAATACTACTGTTGGGAGAAATGTCTCACAAGATTTAGAAGCTGACTGGTCTTTTACATTGTGGTACTGTTAAAAGGTATTACTGTCTGCCATCTAATAGGGAGCTCTGGTCTAAACTTTAATAGCCTTGGTGTCATCATAAGTTGCTTGCACAGTGAAGGTATGACACTTAGAAGCAGACGGAGTCTTTTTCATTTTTTGTGTAACTGCTGGCAACTCTGGAAAGTGCTGCCGTAAGGAGATACCATAGTGTGCTGATACCATAATTACAAAAAAAGCCATGTCTTCATTCCTTCCTGAAGGACTTTGTTAGTTTACTTAATAGTAAAAGTACTCTCTATTTGATAAGACACACAGCTGTGATTCTAGACACCTAGGCTATGCCCCTTCCATTTTGGCTAAAGGGATGGATTTCTACCAACAGCCCCGTACTTCATTTGCTGCCAGATTATCTATGGCATAATTTGGTATATTTTATGATCTTTAATTAATGGCAAAAACAATGGCATTTTCAAATACTTTATAAGCAATTGAAATATAATATGTCCACAGCTAATCAAAAGTTGTGGAGATGTCTTTAGAAGCATCTGTGGAGGGTGGAAAAGACAAGCGGATAGAAGATAACATTAAAAATAAGAGCCAGGCTGGGAAGTGGGGGAGAGGAAGGGAGGGAGGACAGGAATGGGACAGTGCCCCAGGGTGTGTGGCAAACAACAAAGAAAAATAAAGGTGTTTCCAGTGACATGATTATTTGAATCTTAAAATAGCATCTCTGTAGGAATTATGTAAGGAGATGCCAAGGAAAGAAGTGGAGATGAGTTAAGGATGAAAGGAATTGTTTAGGATGTATCTACCTTTGAATGTCATGAGCAGTAGAAGGAAAGTTAGAGCAAGTTTGCTGCAATTTTAATAACCAAGTGCTCTGTGTCAGTCAGCCAGCCATATTTTAAGATCAAGATCCTGTAAAAGAAGGTATTTAAGCCTGCATGAGTGTACTATTGCAATTAACAGGAACAATTCCAGCGATTCCTGCAAAGACAGCTCAATGTTTGAAATATGGAGTGGTTCAGCAGGAGGGTCAGATTTCTTTGATTGACTTGGCGTACAGGTATGGGAGGAAGTTACCTGTGATTTGGAGAAATCTCCAGGAAGTCACCAACAAAGTTTAAGTTGAGAAGCAAGTATTCTTTATTGCGGCACTGGGAGACACAGGGGATAACTCCTCCTAGCGTGTCTCATCCAAGCATCAACCAGGCTGTGATTATATTGTCCTTAAAGCATGCATATCCATTAGATTACATACATATTCATTGAGTTACTTATACATTACATCATACTTCTAGAATTCCTCCCACATGCACACTTAACATGTGGTAGTGGGCTTTGGGACCCCTGGTCGTTATTTCTTCATTCTTATTATCTTCATCACTTCGTTTTAGGATCATTGTCATGTCAGTAACTACCAGGCTAGCTCTGGCCAGTTCTTGCACAATGCTTATCTTAGCTATTTCCTTATCTCTATAGTTGATAACAAAGCCTTGAAGTTACTTATTTACAAACACATTCTTCAATCAACCCCATTCTTCACTTGTGACATCTGCATTTGGAAGTTGATAGTAACCCTGAGGTGATGGGTTTGCTTCAAAATTCAGAATGGAATAGAATGGACTGGAAGGGAAGGGAGGGGAAAGGAAGGACCCTGTCCCAGTGTTAGATCACCCCTCTCTGTAAAGAAATACTTCTTAGTGTCCAGGCTAAGCCTCCCCTGGCACATCTTTGAACCTTTCCCAGTTGTCTTATTTACTGCATACTGGAAAAAAGATTCACTACCTCCCTCTCCGCTTCCCCTCCTCAGAAAGGTGTAGAAAGCAATGAGGTGTCCCATCAGGCTCCTTTTCTCAAGCCACACAATGTGAATAAACTGGGATAATTACCTCTTTTAACTGTTGCACTGAGTTTGTTGCAGCCCAAGATGCAGTTAACCCTCTTGGTGCCAGGGTACACTGCTGACCCCTGTTGAGCTTACTGTCAACCCCCAGATCCATTTCCGCAGGTTTCTAAGCATTCTCAGACACTCTACTCCCAGTTTATATTTGCATCCAATATTACTCCATCCTAGAAAATATTCCTGGCAGTGGTGTGACTTAAACCCACGCCTCCAAAGAAACTGGAGCCTTAATCCAGCACCTTAGACCACTCGGCCACACTACCTTGATAGTATTCAATCTCCACCAACTGCATCCCCCAACCACAATTCAGCTTGTTACAGGATGTTTTAAATGGCTTTTCCTACTGAGAGAGATAGCTGCTCCTGCAGTGGACCACATGTTTCTGGTCCCCTCATCTGCTGTCAGGGAACATCATCTGGAAAGTTCTACAAATATCTCCTTGCTTATGAACCTGTGACCCCTTCCCAGGAAAAGAAAGGGTGATGGTATAATTTGGGAGGAATGAGTGCTGGCTTTGCATTCAACTTTCTATTTTCATATTTTTGAAACATAGTGAGTCTTGGGCAATGAAACATCTGTTCTTTCATACAAATACAGTCGCTGCAGTGTGTATCATGTACTCTAGGAGCAACCTATGTCAGTGCCTCACCACTCTTGCAGTAGAATACTTCTTTCTTACACTTAATCTGAATCTATGAATAAACAAAAAGTAAAGGAATAAAATAGTATTGTATAAGGAAAGGTATAACTGCAAATGATAGGGAAGGATTATTAAGGACAGAAGTGATTATGACTGATCATGTAGGCTCATTTCAATTTCAGGGCCACAGCTTTGACCCACTGACAGGGATTTTTCACAGAAGCACTTAATTTGACTTTGTTGACATTGAGATATGGGGAATCTACCCTTGCCTTCAGACTTTGCTTTAGTAGATATTCATCCCACACACAAAAAGTATGTGTCTGATACGGAATTTCACTTTGTCTGTCTGAATTCTTACATCTTTTGTTCCCATAGTGTTGCTTGTTGCTAGATTAAACAGTTCTTTAATATCCTGCACTTTCTCCCTGTAAAGTCAGTTAGAGGCTGTGATTAAACAACACTTCAATCCTTTTTTTTTAAAATAAGTACATAGACCTCTTAAAGGCTCTCAGTTAACAGTAACTATTTTTTGTGTCCCTGAAGGTTTCTGACATTCCACAATTTTTTAGCGTTTCCATCCGTTGTAAAATATGGCATTAGAACTGCAGTACTCTAGTATTTGTGTAGCATTCCCCTATAGGTTTGGTTTTATACCTGCAGGAAGAGGTAAAAACATCTTCCTACCTGCTACTTCCTCTACATGGAGCTAAGGATCATTGTAGCTCTTTTAATCATATTACAGTTCTGTCTGACGAGCTCTTGCAAATTGTTTGCCCACTACAGTCTTGCCAAACAAATCATTGCAGTATGATTTCTTAGTTCTTTTCCTAGACAGTCCAGAATTATTTCACTTCTTATGAATCACAACACCCATTAAAAAGTATTTTAACTCTATTTTTAAAGACATTTTATTTTCTAGAAATATAATTTTTATATAAAAATTTGCAAGAAAAACTTTTTATTTTCCCTGTTTTTCATTGTTTTACTACACAGAGATCTTGGAAAGAGTGCTGTTGGAGATCCAAAGTTCCAATGGCCTCAGAGATTTCTATTTAAATAATAAAACTGGGGGGGGAAATTTTAATTTTATTTGTGTCTTCCTTTAATTAGTAGTGCCATGGGAAAGATATTGACTACAGTAAAGTATCTAGAACTGCACAAAATACAGAGAATTATATGCTTTCAAAATTTACTTTGATCATCTCAAGGTTTGTGCAGCATTTTTTTAATCTTGAGTTGTCTTGACTGCCAATACATCATTGGTTTTATGTTCTTAGAGCAACAAGAATGAAGTAGCTCAGAAATGGCATTTGAATTCCAATTGGTGTTTCTTCCAATACTATTCAGCACAAGTAGTTGAAACAGAATATTATATTTTTATATACTCTGTAGCATTTCTTCCAAGGGGCAAATTTCTATTCACGTGTTATTGTGTAGGTTATAAATTGCAGTCTGCATTTCTGCTATCAAAATGCACAGCTAGTGCTATTTAACTGTAAAGAAATATATCCTTAGGCAACGAAAGCATCTAGTCAGAAATTACTAGATGAATTTAACCAAGAAGAGAATGATCCCATATTGATGTAGGGCATAAATTTTTGAGTGTGGGACAATGATCCCCATTTATTAACATTTTCTCTTCATATTGAAACGCCTGACCTTGCTTCAGCAGTTTTATGGCTAGCGAGATTTCTGGAAGTTCAATTTTTCCTTCTAGAAAAAGAAAGCAGCTATGTTGATGGGAATAAATAGAAGTCAGATGTAATGTTTCTGTTTTTTTCAGATGTAGCAAAAAAAAGATGAATACCTCTATAGCATAATAATTCAGATAATAAAAAGACCAGTTGTTATGAAAGTGGGGAGAGGAAATGCTTTTGAAAAGATACCCATATTTTACACAAGTGAAACACTGAAAGTTTTTACTGATGTGAATGCCTAAAGTCACAGGTAAAGATTGCATACTATTATTCATTTACGTTTATAAGAACAGCTAGGCAGGGATGCAGTGAAACCTTTAGACAACCAGTGGTACTGCAGGTGAGAATTAGAAATCTAAATTCAGGAAACAAATTCAGGAAAAGTAAATCTCACATCCTTAAGACCTTGAAATACTCAGTATTTCAGGCAGTTATTTTACAATATCAACTCCCAGGGCCTTCCATCCATTTCAAATTGGAAATATCATAGAATCATAAAATAGTTAGGGCTGGGAAGGACCTTAAGATCATCAAGTTCCAACGCACCTGCCATGGGCAGGAACACCTCGCACTAAACAATACCACCCAAGGCGTCGTCCAACCTGGCCTTGAACATTGCCAGGGATGGAGCATTCACAAATTCCCTGGGCAACCCATTCCAGTGCTTTACCATCGCACAGGAAAGAATTTCCTCCTTATATCCAATCTAGACTTCCCCTGTTCAAGATTTAACCCGTTACCCCTTGTCCTATCAACACAGTCCCTAATGAAGAGTCCTTCCCCAGAGTGCCTATAGGCCCCCTTCAGATACTGGAAGGCGGCTATGAGGTCTCCATGCAGCCTTTTCTTCTGAAGGCTGAGCAGCCCAAACTTTCTCAACCTGTCTTCATACAGAAGGTGCTCCAGTCTCCTGATTATTCTCGTGGCCCTCCTCTGGACTTGTTCCAACAGTTCCATGTCCTTTTTATGTTGAGGACACCAGAACTGCACACAATACTCCAAGAGAGGTCTCACTAGAGCAGAGTAAAGGGGCAGGATCACCTCCTTCAACCTGCTGGTCATGCTCCTTTTGATGCAGCCCAGGATACGGTTGGCTTTCTGGGCTGCAGGCACACACTGGAGCTGGTTCATGCTCATTTTCTCATTGACCAACAGCCCCAAGTCCTTATCCACAAGGCTGCTCTGAATCTCTTCTCTGCCCTGTAGCTGTACCTGGGATTGCACTGACCCAGGTGTAGGACCTTGCACTTGGCATGGTTAAACTTCATCGTGTTGGCATCAGCTCACCTCAAAAGCGTGTCAAGGTCCCTCTGGACAGCATTCATTCCCTCCAGCGTATCAACCACACCACACAGCTTGGTGTCATCGGCAAACTTGCTGGGGGGGGGGAACTCAATCCCACTGTCCATGTCACCAACAAAGATGTTAAACAAGAATGGTCCCAACAGCAATCCCTGAGGGACACCACTTGTTACTGTTCTCCAGCTGGACACTGAGCCATTGACCACAACTCTTTGTGTGAGACCATCCAGGCAGTTCTTTATCCACCAAGTGGTTCATCAATCAAATTGATGTCTCTCCAATTTAGAGACAAGGATGTCGTGTGGGACAATGTCGAACGCTTTACACAAGTCCAGGTAGGTGATGTCAACTGTTTTACCCCTGTTCATCAGTTCCGTAGCCCCATCATAGAAGGCCACCAAATTGGTCAGGCAGGAGATCTCCTTCGTGAAGCCATGCTGGCTGTCACCATGCACCTTGTTGATTTTCATGTGCCTTAGCATGCCTTCCAGGAGAATCTGCTCCAAGATTTTACCAGGCACAGAGGTGAGACTGACTGGTCTGTAATTCCCCATGTCATCCATTTTCCCCTTCTTGAAAATGTGGGTTATATTACCCTTTTCCAGTCTTTGGGAACTTCACCTGACTGCCATGATCTTTCAAATACGATGGCCAGCAGCTTAGCAACTTCATTCGTCAGCTCCTTCAGGACCCGCAGATGGATTTCATCAGAACCCATGGACTTCTGCACATTCAGATTTTTAAGATGGTCTCGAACCAGATCCTCTCCTACAGTGGGGCCAAGGTCTTCATTCTCACAGTCCCTGTGTCTGCCTTCCAAGACTTGGGTGGTGTGGTCACAGCATTTGCCAGTGAAGAATGAGGTAAAGAAGTAATTCAGAACCTCAGCCTTCTCCAAATCCTATGTAGCTAGTTCTCCTGAGAGCTTCCTGAGGGAGCCTATGTTGTCCCTAGTCTGTCTTTTATTTGCTATGTACCTGTAGAATCCCTTCCTGTTATCCTTAATATCCCTAGCCAAGTTTAATTCTAACTGGGCCTTAGCTTTCCTAACCTGGTCTCTAGCTTCCCAGAGAACATCCCTGTACTCTTCTCAGGCCGCCTGTCCTTGCTTCCACTTTTTATAAGCCTCTTTTTTCATTTGAATTTCTCATCAGCTCCTTATCCATCCAAGGAGGTCTCCTGGCCCTCCTGCTGCACTTCCTTCTAGTTGGGATGCAACACTTCTGAGCTTGTAGCAGGTGATCCTTGAATATCAACCAAGAGCCTTGGACCCCCCTGCCCTCTAGGGCTATATCGCATGAAACCTTACTAAGCAGGTTCCTGAAGAGGCCAAAGTCTGCTCTCTTGCAGTCCAGGGCAGTGAGCTTGCTGCACGCTCTTCTCACTGTCCTCAGGATCTCAAATTCGACCATCTCATGATCGCTGTGTCCAAGGCTGCCCTGGAGTGCCACATTTCCAATGAGCCCTTCCCTGTTGGTGAGCACGAGGTCAAGCATGGCACGTCTCCTTGTCAACTCCTCTATTACTTGCAGAAGGAAGTTGTCTTCCACATAATTGAGGAACCTCCTGGATTGCTTGTGCCAGGTGGTACTGTCATTCCAACAGAATTAAAGACCAATT